CTCTCTCTCTCTCTCTCTCTCTCTCGCGTGAGCGCGCGCTCGCAGCTCCCCGCGCACTCCCGCAAGCTCCCCGATCCAGCATGCTCCCGCGCAGCTCTCGCACCGCTCCCGCGCCGCTCCCATGCCGCTCCCGCACGCTCCTGCACAGCTCCTCGACACACACACACACACACACACACTCACACACAGACCTCTCTCTCTCTCTCTCTCTCTCTCTCTCTCTCTCTCTCAGCTCCCCATGCACTCCCGCACGCTCCCTCGCAGCTCCCCGCCCAGCAGCTTCCGCACGCTCCCGCGCAGCTCCCACGCAGCTCCCCGGCGCACACACACACACATACACCTCTCTCTCTCTCTCACACACACACACACACACACACACATACAGACACACACCCACCCACACACACACACACATACACACACACACACACACACAATCAATCAAATGAAATCAATCAATCAATCAATCAATCAATCAATCAAACCTTTTTTTTGTTATTTGTTTTGAAATTTTGCATCTTTTATTTTTTTAAACACCTCATTTCCCTGCAAAAAACAAAAATCCAAGTAAAAGAAAAATACAGGTGTACTCAGGGACCATATATCTCATGATAAAAAATGGCAAACAAAAATTCCTGCTTTTCTTAAAAAAAATAAAAAATTATTTTGTTTAAATCGATTTTAATCTGTGTAACCATATGAACGCCGTGAACGCGCGTTCACATTCAAACGCGCGTGTTCATACCCCCCTGCCCCGTGTTCAATCGCGTTCAAATGCGCTACGCGCGCGTGCGCGTGCGAAAAAATTGAACGCGGTCCCCCGGGGCGCGCGTGCGCGACGGGGGCTACGGGGTGGTGGTCCACCCGATAGCCCCCCTGCCCCCCGGGGACCACCCGATAGCCCTCCCGCCCCACGGCCCCCACCCCCAAAACCGCCACGTGCCAAGCCCCGACACCCCGACCCCCACCCAACGGAGGGCCACCCACTCCCGCCACCTCCACTCCGACCGTGCCTCTGCGCCACCCAGGGACGTTTTTTTTTTTTTTCCCCCGCCCACAATTAGAACCCCCCAAACCACGCCACCCATTTACACACACACACACACTGAGACACACACACACTCACACACGCACATGCACACACAAATTCACACTGTCGCAAACAAACGGGCACTTTTTTTTTTTTCGCCAACACGTACAACCCCCCAAACTGCGCCACCCATTTACACACACACATAATCACATTCACACAGACACACAAACTGCGACCTTTCGTTTGTTTTTTTTTTCCAAAATATCTGTTTTCTTTATTTTTTTTTTAAGCGCAAAACAAGCGGTTAGAGAAATTTTTAAAAAGGGTTGCAAGCAAAAAAAAAAAAAAGGTGGTTTGGGGGGTTCGAGGCCAGGGGTGGGGGCGGGGGGCCAGGGGGGGCTACGGTATGGTTTGGGTTATGAGGGGCCTGGAAGCACTTCGAGGGAAGTGAGATTTCAGAGAAACTAAGGCGGACTTAAAGCACACAAAACACTCGTCGTCTGAAAACAGAAACATCGCAAATGACAAGATGTAATGATCGAAGCAAAACGCAAACCACTATAGCATGGATAATAGCAAAAATCTGACACATCGTGTCGAAGCCCCGCCAGTCTGTGGAAAGAAGTACCAACCCAAAAATGCCGACGAAAAGTAAACTAAAATACACTGGAAAGCTATAATCTCCGAAGTAGCAAACTGCGCAGAAAAGTGCCTACTGGAAAGTACACTATAATACAACATCACGAAACACTACGTCTGTCATGGATAACAAAAAAATAAACTCGAACGAAGTGGCCATGTACTCCTACGAAAGTAGAGTAGAATACAACATCACGAAACACTACGTCTGCGCAAAAAAGTACCCACTGGAAAGTAGACTATAATACAACCTCACGAGACACTACGTCTGTCATGGATAACAAAAAACTACAGTACACTCAGAATGTCATGAAAACGCAAGTCCATGATCCGTCAACGATCGTTGTGCGCACGCGGATCCCGCTCGGACCGATGAGAACCGCCACCTCCCCTCCGACCACTGGCACGCCCTCGATCTCTCTGACGTTGGCCGCCGCGTCTGCCAGCGGAAGGCTCGGGAGCGACGGGACACTCGGCGGGGTCGTCGTCCATAATGAGTCTCCTGCCTCTCCACGCCCTGCCTACACCTGTGGCTGCTAGGTCATCACGTCGGCATGACTCCCGTGCCATAGGTAGACCATCTGTCCCTGAAGTCTCCCCCTCCTGGCGTCGATCTAAGGGCACGTGTCTCTCCTGCCTCGGTCGTGTAACAACATCAGGCTCCTGCAAAATAATCGACGCCTCTCTCAAACCGTACGTCAAGGGCGGATCCATTGCGCTCGCCGCGGCACCGCCTGCACCCTCACGTATGTCGTCGCCTTGGTCACCGCTGCCACCGCCGCCACTGCCTCTACCACCAACCCCTGAAGCTACAACATCTCGACGTCTCACAGCCGTGGAAGCCCCTCTCAAACCTGGCTCACGACCGGCACTCGCCGTCGTTACCCATCTCATCTCGCTCCATGGTCGATCTGTGCGACCGAACAACATGGTGTCCAGCAACTCCCGCGCACGCTGGGTAGTGTCTCTCCGTCTACGGGCAACCGACCTCGGGGTGAGACTGCCGCCCTCCCTCGGAGCTGCTGTCAAGGGTGACGAAGGGCCTGCGGCGCCTCCAGATGGCGCTGCGACTGAACCTCCAGAAGGTTAGTCCCATGCGCCCCCGCCAGATGCCGCTGCGACGGAACCTCCAGAAGGTAAGCCCCCTGCAGCCCGGCCAGTTGGCGCTGCGATGGAACACCCAGAAGGTAAGCTGGGGCTGGCTGGCCCCCAAGATACGTCCTACACGTGAGGCAACTTCCCCTCCTCCGGGACTGACCTCAAAACGCGCTGGTCGATCTCCGTTAAATCCCTCCTGCCGTGGTCCTCCAACTCCTCAGCGGTCATAAAACCAAAAGGGAGGCTGCCCCGAGGCGTAGCCACATGCCTAATCTCCGGCCTCGTCCGTGACGGCGCAAAAGTAGGGATCGGGGGTATGCACGCGCCCCTGCCTACACGTCGCTCCTCGACCGGGCCTCCGCCATGTGCACATCGCCTCTAACCCTCCAAAGACGGTGCCTGATGCGGCACCACTAGCCCCACAGCAGTGCGAACCACCAAAGTCTGTGGCATCTCCTGTTTGTCCGCGTCACGCCTGTCCACCTGTGCGGGGTCCCCCCCGCCAGACGTGGACATCGGATCGGCCGCGGATGGCACCCCCGACCCGCCAACACCAACGGCCCCCGCTACGGCCCCGTCCCCCCCAGTGGTTGGCGCTATCCCCTCCGCCTGTGCCGATGGGCGAAGATCATCAACGCCCGCTGACTGCCCCGTCTGTATGTCCTCCAGACCCGATGACATCTACACGGCACCCTCAACTGAACCCGCGGGCAGAGGCACGCCCGCGACCTCGTGCAATGTCTCCTCGGGCCTCAGCTGGACGGCAGGAGGCTACGCCGGCTCCGAACGTGGCTCCTTTGTCGGTGCCAACCCGCTCTCGTGCATCCCCTGCTTAACATCTACTCCCGTACTCGATACCTCTGCTGAAGTCGCCTCCCGCTGCGTGGTGTCGTGAACCTCTGCTGGAGGATCCGTGTGGGCAGCTGGCCCCACGTCAACGGACGCCGGCGTAAATGTCCCCAGCTGCCTCCGTCGGTCCTCGGCCTCAAGACGGGCGAGCTCTTGCGTCCAGGGGTCCCTCTGTGCCATGAGGGCAGCTCGATGACTATCAAGCCTATCCAGCCTCTCCTCAGATGTCTCTCGAGGGGGTGTCCCTTACCAAGCTCGCGTCGTAGTCGCTGACCACGCCCTCGAAGTACCGAGAGTCCCGCCGGCTGGGACAGAGAAGGTGAGCAGTGGCCTGCGCCGGCTCCAACATGTGAGCGCATCGAGCCTGCACCCTCTGCACAATGTAGTGTGCAAGATCTGCCGGAAGTGCACAAACCTCCTCTGCTACACGGCGGGCCAGATCCTGTGTCCACTCAACCACCCGCGACATGTGTAGCCCTCCGCGGTCCAACCTGCGCAGCAGGTCGTACACAGGCTCCATGATACAGAACGAGATGCCCATGGAATCCCACCAACTGCCATGTCGCACCTGCCACCTGACCCACCTAGCCAAATGACGAACGGAATGGTCCCAAGGGATCATACCCCAAGTATCGCCATCCACCGTCCTCTCCAAAGCTGACCTCACTGCCAGCAAATGCTCCACCATCGCGAACACGGATGCGAAACATGTCTCGCAAGGATAAATGAGGCCCATCTGCCTGCTCTCCCCCCGGAAAATATGGAGAGCGGTGCCGTGCTCCTTAATGAAGCGCACCACCGCTCTCCCCCTCACGATGATGTCCTTGGACCACGGGCCCGAACAGCCAATGTCTGACAACATCTTGTTGAAGACATGCACTGTGCATGAGAGCCACGTGATCCGTCGATGCTCTGGCCTCTCCTGGGGCCCCTGGAACATGTTCGCCACGACGACGTACGCCGAGGCGGAGGCGTTCACCCACTTAGGGGGAAAGCCATCGAACACCTTGATCCAACGCGCCAACACATCAGGCGCCCGATCCCGCTCACCCTCCCTGTCCATCGTCCTGACGAGCATCACCCCACGCGACCCGCCGACAAGGAAGTTAACGATGGGTCTAGCATCGCGTGACTTCCTTCCGTCTGACATAATGGTGGCCCCCGTGACATAGAAAGGAGCCCTGACCTCCGTGAGATCAGCTCCCATATCGTCCGCCGTGTGGAGAATGGTCTGTATGTCCGCAATCTCGTTCTCTGAAGGCCACAACACCTTCACTCGCCCCGGCAAATCCCTGAAGTGCCGGACGACGTCCAACCACGGCTCGCTCCGGAAGACGTTGAACGCCAGGCGCTGAGTGTACACAAACTGCAGCCACCTCTTCTTGAACTCCATCTGCCACTTTGAAGAGAATGACTCCGTGATCGTGTTCTGCCTCAGCCTCTTCTGTGTTGTGGCTGCTGCTGTCGGTTGCGCCCCCTCCTCTCTCTCCTTCCTCTTCCCAGCAGACGGACCCGCCTCAGCTGTATCCGCACCTGCCCGTGTACGAACCGACACGTGCGTCGACACAAAGTACTGGCCCTGCTGCCCCCCCGGCTCGCTGACAACGCCCTTCCCTCGCTCGCTCCCTGACGACCCCACCCGCGCAACCTCCTCGACGTCGTTGTGCACGTCGATCGGCTCCTCCGCGTCCCTCATCTCTCCCTCCCCCCCCTCCTCCCGTCGCGGATCCATCGCACGCGCCGGACCGTGAAGCTCCTCAAACTGCTGGATCCGCTGTAGGAACTTGTCGGACATCTTGTACTCACTGTTGTAGTGGATGTCGACAAGTGCCTCATCGGTCACTTCCGGACATCCCTTGCCCTGGCGGAAATGGCGCGCCGCCACGAACTGGTTGCCCTGGAACTCGTGGCCGCAGAAAATGCACTTCAACATGCGATTGTCGTGGAATCTCTCGCCGAGACTCTGTCCCACGTGGATGTACTTGTACACGCAACATCCCTTCTGCGCCTTCCGATTCTCGTCCTCCCCCCCATCCTCAAACACGTAAGCCTGACTTCGCGGCATCGTGCCCGCTCGCCGATGGGTTCACCGAAGCAGTCCGCCCTCAGCCACTCCCATGAAGGTCCAACTCCCGCCGGCGTCCCTCCCCGCACAAGGCCTCGTCGGGTCACCCCCGTCCTGCCCCCGTTGTGTCGGCCACGCACCCCCC